GATTAAAGTGATCAGTGTATTTCTTCAAGAGTTCAAGGGATTATACTTCCCAGACATTAGGCTTAAGTCCATATAAAATGTTGTTTAGACAATTATTTCTCAGTGATGTTTTTGTTTCTAATCAGAAAGTACTGCTCAGACGTAAGACTTCAAATCTTGGTCTGCAATACTATAGTGCCCATCTGTACCTAAGGGAGACAACCGACTATTGTTCTAAAATGATGGATAAATTTGTGTTTTCCCCCTATCTAGAAGCCTTTGCGAGGGAGCAGACACTGATTCTAGCCACTCCAGCAGCTATCAAAGTGCCTAGAAACAAATCCTGAATCCATCACTCTAGAGTCCAGCCTTGGCAGACAAAAGAAAAATGAGGAGGAACCCAATAGAGGGATGCTTTTGGAAGCTCTCGTCAAGAAATGCCAATGGACTCTGACTCCTTTCATTCTTATTTAGATAATGGAAATTACCACAGAAGGGGAAAATAAGATGCTGGCAGAATCCCTCCATCAGTGGAAATCACTGCAGTCTCCCAGAAGCCATCCATAGATAATTAACTCCCAGAGGTCCTTGCCTCAGTCCCAGGGTGTACTTGCCACAGCATGGAATTTTGGCCAGAAATAGCCAAAAAGATTCTTGCTCTCTGAAACATAAGCATTAGATCTAAAATCTAAAGGGAGCCCTCATTATCAAAGAAAAGGAGAAATACCTAAAGTGTGGTGGGGTGTCCCTGTTCCAGGACAACAAAGCTCTGCCAACTCGACAGCTGCTTTTTCCCCTCCTTTCACAGTTTACCTTGGTTTATACTGACCTTAAGGAGTAAGTGGGCCTCAGAAAAAAGTCCTGAATGAGCCCCCTAAAATGCTACCATCTAGTGTCTAGTGTCCATCAATTAAATAATTAAAAGTCAGGAAGAATATTAGTACAACAGGCAACAAACTTCATTAAAAGTAAAGAAACACACTCAAAGAGAGAAATAGACTCCCCCCAAGTGAGGAGATTCAAAAAACAAAATCCAAGTCACCAGGAGAGCGTGGGCCTTTTAAGTGTTTTTGTGGTATAGGGCAGGTCCCCTTCCCATTACTTCAGATTGGTTAGCTTAAACAAAAGAAGAGGGAGCTTACAGGTCCATGGCTTCATTCAGCTGAGATATGTCCAGGACAATATGACCTGGGACACGTCCAGGCTAAAACCTTTGAAGCCTTTGTCTGGGGTGAAGAAGCAAAAACTTGCCATCTTGTTTATCTATGGCCCCTTTCCTCTCTCTGCCTGTCAGGGTGCTTATCTGCCTTCATTCCTAGTCCCTCAGTGTCTTGGGTAGAACCCTTACTATATTTGTCACCACAGTGCACTAATTAAACCAGGTCTCCTGACCCTGTTTCTCCACTTCAGAAGAGCACTTCCACCTCAGGGAATAGAATGCATTTCCACAGAGTTCATTTGAAACTTTTCACTTAGAGTGAGGAGCAGACTCTGTTCTTTGAGTCAAAACTGAGCCAAGTTGATCCAAAACCCATGTGAAGGAGGATCAAAGAACCCTAAAAACTAATGTTCTGAGAAGGTGAGATCTGAAAACTATGGACTCAACTCCTTGAATACCGCCCAGAAGACACTTCTTCCAGGAGTGGCTAGCTGTGTAAAGACATTTACATTAAAAAAACAAACATGGAGTCCAGTGTGGTAACACATGCCCTTAATCCCAGCACTCAGGAGGCCAAGGCAGGCAGATCTCTATGAGATCAAGGCCAGCCTAGTCTATATAGTGAGTTCCAGGTCAGCTGGGACTACAAGGAGACTTTGTCTTGAAAAACCAAAAAAGAAAAAAAGAAATAAAAGTAATAAAAGTAAATAAAATAAAAATCAAGGGGCTGGAGAGATGGCTCAGCAGTTAAGAACACTGGTTGTTCTTGCAGAAGACCCAGGTTCGAATCTCGGCACCCACATGGCAGCTAACAACTGTCTGTAACTCCAGTCCCGGGGCATCCGACAGCCTCTTCTGACCTCCGTGGGCACTGCACAACACAGGTGCACTTACCTACACGTAGGCAATACACACATACACATAAAATAAAAGTAATAAATAAAATTTTTAAAAAATCAAACCAAGACATCAAACCATGGAGAATGTAATACTTTTTAAAAATTTTTATTTTTATTCAAATTTATTTTTGTGTTTATGTATATGCTGTGCAATTGTGTGTGTGTTCTTATGTATGTGGGAACCTGTGTATGTATGAGTGCATGTGCACAGGTGGAAGTCCAAAGCTGGCATCAGGTGTCTACCTTGATCGCTCTCAACTTTTACTTATTGAGGCATGTCTCTTGTTGGATCAGAACTCGCTAACTCTGGCTAGTCTGGCTGACCACTTTGCTCTGGGGATCCCCTGTCTCTGCCTCCCAAATGCTGGGATTACAGATAGCCGCCATGCCTGCCAACTTTTATGTGAGTTCTAAGTAAGCACTCTACTCCAGTCTTCATACTTACACAGCAAGTGCTTTACCCGCTGAGCCATATCCCCAACCCTAAGGAAAACTACTTCTGACTGGCCATGACAATTCCAGCCCCAAATGAGCCACCTATCATTGTTGACATAAACTCTTCAATGTGGGGAAGAACAAGACACATCTTTCACCTCTTTCAAAGCAAACAGGCCTTTGCAGGGCAGTCCTGACAGACCTATCCAGTGGAAGAACATATGATGTGCCCTTGACAAGTGGCCCCAAAAGCTCCAAGACCAATGGAGTTTATGGTTTTCATACAAGGGATAAAAGAAAGAAAAACGAAACACCTTTAGCCCCTGTCTTGCTGACAGAATCTTTTAGCAGACTTGCCAAGTTTGAGGTTTGGTTTTGTTTTTCCTGATCTGAACTAGAGTATGGCGGGAAAGACACTGACTTCAAAATGGAAAGACCTGGGCTTAGACTGCTTGCTGAGCTACTTTCTTTTTGAGTGACCAGGGGAAGTCAGCCCATCAGAAGCTTTTTTTTTTTCATCATCTGTTAATACAAGAGTGGTAATATCTGGCAGCAGGCCACTGCAGAAGTTAAATGAACATGAAAGAGTGCTTGGCACAGACAGGACAGGGTAAGAAGGCAGGACCTATATATCAAATATTACTCTTCTTCCACAGTCCACTCAGAGGTAGGTCACACAACATTCCTGCTGATCTCAAACGTCCCAAAACTTCCTAGGTATGCCAGGACGAACCATGGGCCTTAGACCCAAGCTATGCCTGAGACTCGCAAGGGACCTGAGCAAGCGGGAGTGCAGAATCAGTGCTCAGAGACTCCAGGGGCGCCTTCCAGGTTCTCTCTGCAGTCACACAGACACTGCACCAGGCACAATCCTCCGTATGTGAGTATATGACTTCCTGATGGTGACACTGCCGTGATGTGACACTCCCCGAGGCAGGACACACTCCTCTGTCAGCTTCTGGGCCTCAGGATCCCAGCACAGCACAGTAGCGATGACCTCATTCTTCTCATCCCGCCCACCGGTGATGTACAGCCTGTTGTTGCAGGGTGCGATGCCACAGCTGGCTCGTTCATGGCTGAGCTGTGTCACCAGACACCAGCTGTCTTCCAGAGGGCTGTAGGCATAGAGTGCTCTCATGGCACCACCTACAGAGAAAGCACAAACAGTGGGCATGCCACCACCTTTCTGGATCCAGTCCTTCCCCCCACTAACAAGAATTCTACTTCTGATTAGGTCAGACCTACCATCATACTAGAGAAACAGCAGACTGGTGGCAATCTTTACAGAAAGACAGAATAGAGCCCCAGCTTCCTAATGTGGTAAAACTTCATATCCTTTAAATTCTGCAGCCAGATGGGAATCTGGCTCTAAAGGACACTTGACTTAACATGGCTACAAAATGTTCCTTGAGACTGACTCCCGGGAAGAATCTCTAGCTGATGCCTTGGGTACCTCAGCTTTGCTACTTTCTGATCTGTCACCCTGTGCACCGAGACCACAGTGGTAATAAAACATCAAAAAGACTGTGCACAGAGGTGATTCATAGAAGCCATCCATCCCTGGCAATAGCTAGAAATGGCATCTCTTTATAGACAAAATGTGATCTTGAACACCAGCCTAAGCTGCCCATCTTGATACTACATCTTTGGAAACTTTGGGAGCCTGGCCACAAACAAAGCCACAAGAAACTCAAGCAAATGAAAGAAGTGTTTTTCCCTAATCTGTTCCAGTGCTTTACCTTCCAGTACCTTCTCTGATTAGCCCTGATCAATCCCTGAAGTTAGTTATTTTCTGGCATCTCATTCATCAATAGTTCTCTATCCAAGTTGCACATCACTTGAAGTTTTACAAGTTCCCAGGTATCCTTCTTCCATTTTCATTTCATTTGTCTGGTATAAGGCCTGGCTACCATATTTTTGAAAAAGGCCCCATGGGAATTCTAAGGCGTGGTCAGGACTGAGAGCTACCTACCATTGTTAACGATTACATACCAACTGTGGTCCTGACTGGCCAGGCTTTCCTCTCAACTAAATAAATTTTGGGGGGTTTCTCAAAGCAAAACAAAGAAGGAAATTCCCATGACCACAAAATATGAATGGTTTCCTTTTGTTCGGTACTTGTACTGTGCAGGTTTCGATTTCTGTGTGTTTGCTAATGCTCGAAATACGACTTTTCTCCTTGAAATACGACTTTTCTCCTGGCCTCTTCCACTGGACCACAGTATCAGTTGCTTTGTGTGGCTGTTTCTACCTCCAGGACTCCAAGAAAAAGTCCACCAAATTCTGTGCCAAAACCACCTTTTCTTCCTCTTCAGCCTCATCCACATCACCCAGGAGTTCTCCAGAGGCTGTTATCTGATGTCCCAACTGGCCACATGGGTGAGGGACAACCAACAAGTAACAAGTCATCACTGACTCACCAACAACATAGATGTGATTCTGGAAACTCACTGCATTGATGCATTTAGCCTCTACCGGCATGGCCGACTTTAAAATCCATTTATTGGTTGAAGGATCATAACACTGTGTCTTGTCTGTGGCCAGTTTTCCATTGGGCCCTCCCCCAATCACATACAGCTTCTTCTTGTGACTGGTGGCTGCAAAGGAACTCACATGGACAAGGAGGGGTGCAGCCTGCAGAGGCACAGGGCATAAGCAGTCAGTCATGCTGCTCAGATTGCTGGAGAGGCTCATGGAACACACACACACACATACACACACACACACACACACACACACACACACACACACACACACACACACAAGTGTTTAACTGAAATGCCAAACTCTATGGGCTTGATTCCCCATAAAACACAGAGAGACTCAAATCCCACCATCTCTATAGACTCTAGAGAGCCTAGAGCAAGCTGCGTGTGTTAGGCTATTCCTGCCTATTTATCCCAGAGTCCAGCTCTCAGGGAAGGAGGGAATCCAGAATACTACTCATCTTCGTTCATGTGGCCAGTTACTAGGTACCAATTTTGACTGTCCTTAGTGCTTATATCGAAGAAGTAAACCCGGGATAAATGTTAAAGGTAGTGGAGGTAGGGTCAGTGATCCCACTCTGGGAACATTGCAGATTTGGGGATTAAGACAGCCCTGTGCTTATGAAACTTGTTAGCCCCAGGACACCAAAAGGGACCCCCAAGACCCTCTTGTACATTTGCAACACTCCTTTGAGCCTGGGGGAAACTATGTGATGGGACTTGATGATTAGAGAAGATCTTGGGCCCATCCTCCACAGATGTTCCTGCAGAACATTGTTCAGGTTCACAGATCTTAGTTGACGCTCATGGCAACCTTTTTCTTGTGCCTACAGTGACCGTGTTTTAAACTTCCTAAAGCTGGAATATGGGAACAGTCTAGAAAAGCAGGAGAGAAGCTTGCTTTGTTTGTCCTGGGTGCTTCACACACAAGGAGGCATCACCACAGCCTTGCAGGCAGGCCTATAAATGGTTCATCATTAATGGGAAACTAAGGCTGACTTCCAGTCACAACCAAATGTCTTCCGGGTTCACAAATAGTGTAGGAGACCCCGGGTTTCTGATACAAAGAGGAACAAAGGAGAAATGGACTCTGGGCCAGGACACGTGACAAAGGAAGCTACCATCTTAAGGGTAGGCTCGGCCTTCCTTCCACCTCTGGAGCTCTGGCTAGCACAGGATGGTGCTCACATGCAGCACTGCCACCTGGAAGGATGTTATTACTAGAACTGGGTCAGCCAGGCTGAAGCCACAGCTCCAAGCTCAGAGCCAAGAGGATGTCCTCTGTGGGAACAAAGTGATCAGAAAGCTGGTCACTACCACAGGCAGGGGTTTTAAAGCCTTGAAGTACTACTATCAATAGAGCTACTCACAGAAACAATCTGCATACCTCTGACCAGCAGTTGTGGAAGGGGTCATAGGTCTCCACATTGTTGATCCTTTGTAAGCCATCAAAACCCCCAATTACATAGACCTTGCCACCCAGTACCACCATCTTATGCCTCCAGCGGCCTATGTTTAAATATTCAATCTGAATCCATTTGTTGATTGAAGAGTTATATTTCCAAACATCATGCTGTGTTTCTTTGCCACCTACAAGACATATAAGGCATTAAAAAAAAAAAAAACCACCAGATGTCTCAGAAATATAGCATTTTCCAAAACTCTAAAAGTGCTAAGTCTCCAGCCCAGTCCCCACTAAGAGGAGACTGAAGATACATGTGGCCTGTCAGACTGTTGAAATAAAACAATTGATCAGAAAAATGTGAATTTCTCCAGAAATCTCATGTTAAGAAAAGAAAAAGACTGGGAGCCTGGCACCTGCTGGGGAAGGTTGGCAGGGATTTGGGTAGGGAGGCAGACAAGATGACTTATCTCCTAGAAAGAGATTTCACAGAGTTCTAGCAACTTGTCAGACTACCTTGTGGGAAGAGACTGAAGCCTGAAAATGATGAGGCAGTGGTGGGGGATCACACCCAAACCAGGACAGCTTGGACCAGGACGGTTCGGATGTGTGCATCCCTGGTCCTCTAAAAATGTAATCTCACTTCAGGACCCCAAAGATGGACCAGAAGGGGTCACTGGACCTCTTTGTCCTTTTTCCCAGTGTGACCACATTGAATAAGTCTCCTTTTAAAATTTTATTATTAATTTGGCTGTTTTGATTAGCTTCTCAAGGATGAGTGACCAAACCTGGCTCCTTGGCATAGAGACTGTGACCTAAAGTTTGGTAACAGTATCACGGTCAGCTCTCCACGACTGGAAAGAGGCTGAGCTTACTTTTCTTAGAATTTTATGTTCCCCATTTGAAAAGTGCCCTGTTCTGACTTTTTTCTAGCTCCCTGTCTAGAACTTGTAATGCTAATTATTCTTGCCTTTACTTCTCCTTCACATCTCCCATTCATGATTCAAGGACTTTCTTCTCCCCTTATAGACAAGAGTTATGCAATATGGGAGTCTTTCAGATAGACCCACTGAAGGGGTACTCCAATTGCCTCACCCTGCATCCCTGTTCAGCATGGAAGAAGCCAGAGTGGTTGGCGTCTCTATTCCCTACTGGCAATTTGGATAACCCCTTCAGAGGATGGTGTGATAAGAATAGGAGGTAGGAATTGGCTAGGCAGTTAGGGTAAAAAGACCCCAAAGAAATGTAGCCAGTTTCTTGGCTAAAAGTCAAAATGTCCTTGGGCCTGTTAGCAATATACTCTCTTCCAAGGCCAAAAATGTCCAAAGTATTTGGGAGCTTGTATCTAATCCTTAAAGGATTTTGGGGTTACCTCCTCAGGGGGGGAATATTGGAGGGGAGGAAGTGGGTTTGGATTTGATCAAAACAGCTTATATGCATGTATGAAATTCTCAATAAAGATTTTGTAAAAAAAAAAAAAAAAAAAAAGAATTTTATGGTCCCATCCCTTGACCATTTCTCTTTGGGTTTTGTGCCTTTCAGAGGTCTCTATTCAAAACATTGTGATATTGATCCCATTTGGATAGTATTAAATAATATGCTATTAGAACTTTCAAAAGAAATTTATGAAATCTTTATTAAAAAGAAACCCAGAACCCACATGGGGGCTCTGAACCATCTTTAACTCCAGTTCCTGGGGAATCCAACTCCCTCTTCTGACCTCTGTGGCATTGCACGACATGGGTGCACTCACATACAT